TCCAAGATGTCAACCAGGAAGTAGCAAAACCCTGGCTTCATTTTCTCAGTGCAGAAACCAACGGGTGACGTCACGGTAGCTACGTCCATCTTTTTTACAGTCTATGGTGCTGACGTCCAGAAGGCTCCCTGAAGTTGGCCAATCAGAAGAAAGTGGGCATTTAAGGGGGGGGCCTTAAAGAGACAGGAGCTAAAACGGCTTCTATCTGACAGTGAAGGCTTAATGAAAGTACAAGACAAACAGGAACTTTTTAAACTTTGAATCATGCAAAGTTGCTCTAGTGTCCCGGAATGAAAATCTAGTGTTGGAAATTAGTAGGTTCCCTTTTACATTACTCCTCGTTTCCAAACTAGTATACAGTTATCGTGCAATTGTTTAGTGCAAAAGTGGATTCTGATGCTCGTATTGGGGTTTAGCAGCAGTATGAATTAGGAAAGTCGAGCTTCATGTTAGCTTTAGCTAAACCTCAGAGCGCACAAAGAAAGGACGATAGCTTTTGTCAAAATTTAATAACAGTTCTCATGACAGTCAGTGTAAACAGAACAAATGAAAGGCAGAGGTGAAAAAATGTGATCCTATTATTTTGTCCTCGTCCAACAATCCTCCTGCTGCCATAAATACAAACAGAAACAAATAGATGCATTCAAAACCGTCTAAAACTAGCCGCATCTTTCCAGCAGAAGTAGCATTTTCAGCTTAAAGAGGCCTGAATATCAGATTCCAGAAGTAACGCCGTATTACCAGAATCATTATCTCTGGTCTGCTATATCACAATCACCCATTGTTTTTGAGCTGCCACTTCTCATCTAACAAGGTGGCAGAATGATGTCTCATTTTGGAAGTGCCTCGTCTTATCTTGGCGGCAGACCAAGCAAAAATGAAGTAATACTGGTTGTAGTTGAAGCCAGCTGATATGATTTACATCGCAAATTTTTATGTCCAATTTCCACATGTCCTTTGTGTATGACAACAATGGGAGGCAGGATGAAAAGTGGCAAAGTGGTCTCTTGTCAATAAATATACCGTCTGTGATTAATTAAGGCTGGCTGCTGAGATCCAAAACAACTCGCTACAAGCATGCAAACATGATAATTATAGGAAAAACCATGTTCCCCACAAAGCAAGAGGGGTCACTAATTGGTTTGAGCAGGAAAGTGATGTGAATCGTACAGTATGGTGCAACATTCAGTCTCCAGATCTCATTCCAAGTGAACACATACAGTCTGAGAACATTTTGGAAAGCACTCTCCATCACCATCAAAACGCTCAGGATGCAACAAACCCTTACTCCATGATGACTGGGAAAGAATTAACTGTTTATAAAATGTCAGGAAAAAGTGGAAAAAATACCTTTTCAATTTCCTTTTTTTTTTTTCATTCAATTTACAATCTAAAGCCCAGAAATATTTAGTTTACCATCATAGACGCCAAATAAAACTCACACCTCTCCCACCAGAGAAGGTAAAACCAGATAGTCTTGGGTGTTTTCCATGAACAGTTTGATCAGTTATTAAAATAACTGTGTTTTTCTTTTTATCACTGAAGAAGAGCCCCACAGACTTAAAGAATATTTGTTATGGAGCATTGAAGCTTTCCTCCTGGGAGCCCAAACTGCTGGTGGGGGATCTGCATCTTAAACTGAGTCCAGGCACTGAGTCACACCGTATTGGTTTCACAGGCAGGGGCCTCATTTCTGTCTCTTTATTACCCCGTGGCCATGGACTTTATGCCCCGGTAAGCCAGTGGCTCATGTAAGCACTGGAATAAAACCTTTAAAGACTCTCTCTAAATGAAAATTTAAGTTTTTTTGCCGTGTTAACATGCCCATTTGTCCATATCACGAGCATAATAAACAGTCAACGCAGTCAGCGGCTGAGCATTTTGAAACTGGAGCACACTCATGACGGTTTCAAAAACATCAGACTTCAGACAAAGATGAGGAACCAATCCTGTCAACTTGCAGAACAGGGCTTCCTGTTGTGTTTGTCTTTGTCAGAATCAGTTTCTGGTTTGAACTATGGATGAATTACTCCAATATTACAACTCACCATGATGTAGCTTTACAGTGTATGAACAGAGTCGTAAGTGAGCTGGTGTGCTCAAGCTGCAACAGCTGGTGGAGAGATGGGGTAGGTGTGACATCTTAACCGCTTCAAGGCAGAAAATGATGGGAAACAAATCTAAATATGTGACACTGATACACAGAGAAGAGTTTTTAGGGGTTTAATCAACTCACGGAGTGGGACTTTAACCACAGCAGGCTGAGCGTTTCCCACTGTGCTCTGTGCTGCGGGCTGAAGTGAAACACAGCCATCCCAAGGACCGAAACTGAGACATCTGTCATGGAAAAGTCAATATCACAAACTGTGTCATTTAGATAAAAGGCCTCCTGTCTGAGTGACACCAAATCTGGTAATGAATGGGCTGGTGAATAAAAGGAAATTACATTAATCTGAAGAGTTGTGAGAGGAAACGCGACGCAGAGACACGCGCACAAAAGAAACGCAGATTGGCAGATAACTAGAACAAAAACGAGGGAAATAAGGGCGCAATCAAGTTCTCACCAACAAAGGAGCAAAATCATGTTGACTCTTACTACTTTTATTTTGGTGTGTTTTTATCAAGGCTACTATGGCAACGGAGTGAATGCCATCATAGTGTTTGCTGCCTGTTTCCTGCCAGACAGTGACCGAGAGGACTACCATGAAATAATGGAGAACCTCTTCCTGTGAGTACTGCACCGCAATGACAGACGCACACTTTTAACCACTCGTTTATTTTTTCAGTATGTTTTGGTCTGACCTACAACAATTCAGCAACTATTTTTTTAAAAGAACTGTTAGTTATTGCTTTTATAGTAATGCTCTTTATTTCCTTTTTAACCTTGTGAGTGACGATCTTCCCAAACGCTGACATATCACGACTGACAACAAAAAAACAACAGTGTATGACCAAAACTTCAAGCTGAGATAAACCATGAACTACTCTTAAAATCAATACGGGTGTACAGAGCAGTTTTCTGTAGCTACAGTATGTCACACCTGCTCCCCATTCACACCTGAGACCTTGTAACACTAACGAGTCACATGACACCAGGGAGGGAAAATGGCTGATTGGGCCCAATTTGGACATTTTCACTTAGGGGTGTACTCACCTTTGTTACCAGCAGTTTAGACATTAATGGCTGTCTACTCAGTTATTTTGAGGGGACAGTAAATTTCCATTGTTATACAAGCTGTACACTGACTACTTTACATCATAGCAAAGTGTCACTTCTTCAGTGTTGTCCCATGAAAAGATATAAAAAAATATTTGTGACATACTGTAAATGCCAAAATTAGCATGCTAACATGCTCACAATGACAACATGCTGATGTTTAGCAGGTGTAACATTTAACATATTCACCATCGTAATTCATCATGTCATGTTAACTTGCTAAGAATTCACCAAAGTACGAAGGATTCATCCTCTGGGTACTCTGAATGTCTATATGAACAGATAGATTGACAGGATGATTAGTACAGACATTCCTGATCCCCACTTGGAACAGAGACTCTGTTTGCAAATTCTGATAAACTTTTCCTTCTTGTTGTTTTTAGCATTACAAAGGTTTCAACTTGTAAAAGCCATGACACAAATAAAATGTGAAAAAGCAACTGATCTCAGGTTGTGCGACTTTGTACAAAAGACATGCAAAGGGAGATCAATGGAAACATCCATTTAATCCTCAGAATGTATTTGACTGGTTGAGGATGCTACGTTATTGATCAAACCAGCCACAGCACCTCTGGACCATAAAGACTCTCTACATAAAGTGATAGGAATAAAGTGATAGTCTAGCTTGTTTGCTGAGACCTCCTGTGTTGATATCTCCACTGTTGTGTTGGCACAGTTGCATTTCATGCCTGGACAGTGTGGTTGGGATCCCACAGGCTGTTCTGTGAAAGATACTGAGTAAGCTGGCATATCCGAGAGTTTTGGATAGAAATGAAAGGAGGTAAACCGTAGTGTCTGCAGTTTCTGATGCCAGATGGCTTGAGGTCTGAATCCTTGCGAGGAGGAGTAACTGTAGCTTGGTGGTGAACGGCATGCAGTTTGTCAGTGGGAGATGATCACAATTGTCACGAAACAGAGTGGATCAGCAGTGTTGGTCTGCAAGTTGGAGAATGACATTTGATCAGGAAGAGAGGAGAGTCAGCCTGAAACCAAAGTCAGGGAAGTTAGAGGAGTTATTGAGGACATAGCTGAGGGTATTGTCAACTTTTACTTTCAAAGGAGGTGACAAAGTTCCCTGCTGACCGAGAAGACAGAGAGGAGGTCGGGGGGGACTGAAGAGAGAACTGAAAACGGGTTAGCAGGTTTGAATCAGAGAATTGGATTTTAGAAAGTCCGATTGAGCTTCTGAGATTGATGCAAAGACGGAGAAAAAAGAGGGAATTCAAAGCAAAAACAGCTCCTCCATGAAGCAACATTTGTACCAATTTCTCGTAACCGACATCAGAGGAGAATTTTCAAAAATACCGCTCGATGGGTTTTTCAAATTCTGCGCAAGACTTGTCTCCTATTTCCTCATATATCTTTGGCATTCAAGGTTCAAATAAAAGTTGCATCTATATTTCAACATTTCGACAAACATAATGTTGGAGACTTGAACGTTAGCGCTGCTTTCTTTTGGTGTGTTAAACGTTCCGATTTGAATACACGCAGTAGCTCTTGCGAATGGCATGATGTTGCTCTACTTTGATGTTGGTATGGGTTTGACGTCGTATTTATTTTTCTAATTGCAAAAATTGCTAATTTATTGTCCAAATTGATCCATACATAAGCTAATGGTTCTGCCATTAGTGTTTTCTGTAGTAACATCCATTTCCAGACTTGATAAACACAGTTCTGACTGAAATGCTTCAACAAATATTGGATGGATTGTGATGAAAATAGGTTACGATATTCATTGTGCCTCGAGGATGAATATATGCTCAGTGATGGCATTAACTTATTGAAGCCGGAAAACACAGATTCAGAAATGTGGGTATTCGTACAAATCTTAGGTTCTGTTGACTTGGGGCTTTTTGTATCGTTATTAATCTTAAGAATCCGTTTCTGGTTTAAACATGTATTGCTGAATTACTCTAATCTACAACCTTAGTTTTGCAGTGTTTGAGCACAGTGATGGGTGAGCTGGTGTGCTCGAGCTGCAACAAGTAGCAAAGTGGAATGAAAGAGGTCTTTTAGAAGCGTGACATCTAAGCCGTTTTAATAAAGGAAGGGATTATTTACATGGAAAAAAAACTTCTAAATACGTGAGTTTGATACACAAGATGGGTTTTCAGGGGTTAAATTGATGACCAGAGTGAGATTTTAAGAAAAATGTCTCTATAAGAAAAAGTACTGCCTTGTAATTCATTTCAAACATTCCCACAGGAAGATGTGTCAACATAAATGTGTCCGAATACTTAGATTTACAGCCAAAAACCTGCAAAAAAAACGAAGCAAAATTGCATTCACACCAGCTGTACTTTGCATTTACGACTCATTAGAAACTGGCCTGAACCAGTGTCTTTGTGTGCATTTAGCTGAAAGCACTGCTCTGCAAATTTCAGCACATTAATAGCTGCAGACACCCTCCTCCTAAATGTTGGCATATTAAGGTTGTGTGGAGAGTATATAGTGCAGTTTACGATATATGGGTCAAAATACAATTTCACTCTCAGGCTCCTGTGTATATTATTCCAGGAAAATAAAAAAAAGATTGCAGTCACAGTCACTGAGCTTTTAGCATTTCAGTGTGTGTGTGTGTGTGTTTTGTCCAGAGCTGACACAGCGTTGTGGAGATAGGTCTGCCTATATAGGACTAGGACTGGTATTACTCATGTTGAGCGGACATAAATCGGTTTACACAGTCATATTGTGGAGTCTTTGGGTCCAAAAAGCAGCTTCCTGTGAAGAAAGTCGTAAAATTTTAGTATGTAGACTAAGTAATTATGGCTAGATTAAATCCAGGAAGGGATTGTAGGTCAAAGTATTGTTTGTGTTTCTTCAGGTATGTGATCAGCACGCTGGAGCTGATGGTGGCAGAGGACTACATGATTGTGTACCTGAATGGAGCCACACCTCACAGAAGAATGCCCGGCCTCGGCTGGCTGAAGAAGTGCTATCAGATGATCGACAGAAGGTCTGTCCTACTGTCTTCCGTCTGCTCTTTAGAAATGGATTTTGTGAACGATAACGGAAGCACTGCATGACTCAAATATTTGTGGCTCTCAAGAATGACAGTGAAAATGAGAGCCAGCTCAGGAATGTGCCCAACATGTGATATATTGTGTTATCTTCAGGCTCAGGAAGAACTTGAAATCTTTCATCATTCTCCATCCATCGTGGTTTATCAGGACCGTTCTAGCCATTACCAAGCCTTTCATCAGGTAAAAAGTATTCTGCTTTTATTAGCCACATTAGCATCATGGCACTAGCATCAGTTTGTCCAACACTTAATTCCCAGCTGCACCACGATTGCTGGATATTTCCAAGAAAAACTGTTTAAAAGCAGACAGTTTGCTTTGTGGAGGGACTAGTGTGACTTATTGGATGTCAACTATGAGTATAAGGCTGCCATTGGCCACGCATTTCACGTGGCTTTCTTCTTTCCATACATTATCTACGAATTACTGTTTTAAAATCCCCTTCGCTACAGAAAACAGCAACAACAACCTCCAAGCAGCACCCTAAAAATGATAAGGTTTGCTGAAAGTTTGGATCATGCCATAAAGAAGCCCACTTAGATGGAAATGTTCCCAAAAAAACCCCAAATTCCACCCATTAGTAATTTGAGGGGACACCATCTCTGCAACCTGGGCTCAGCACTGCCCAAGAGGACTGTGATTGGTTTAAAGTAGGGGTGGGACTTGATTAAAAAAAATTATCTCATTAATTGGAGGCTTCCTAATGAACTAATGTCAATTTGGTCCAGTGTGGGCTGTCGACACTGCTTGCCCATACTCGGACCAGGACCGCTAGCGCTAACACCTCAGGCGGTTTATGTGCTCGCTGCAACATACTTTGCATTCAGGTGGTACTGTAAGCTTGATGTGCTTTGGTGGTATGCAAATTCTTTTTTGCACAAGTTGCACAAAACCATGCTCTTGTCAAGGCTTCCATCAGGCAGTTTTTTAAAATGAAACTTGCCCTCCATCAGTCCAAGCAATGCACTCTCATCGGATTCCTCCATGTTTGCTGTTGTTAGTGTAGCGCTGATGCATCTTGTGCATCACTGCGATCGGTGGACCATGAAATCGGGCACTGACAAATGTTCCGTGTTGTCAGGATGCAAACTGCGATTAAATGCGTTAATTTTTTAAACGCGTTATTGTTGTTGTAATTAAATAATCGGAATTAACGCCTTGAAGTCCCACCCCTAGTTTAAAGAAATACAAACAAGCTAAAGATTTTTTTCTTGCGATAGCAAAAATGATATTAAGGTGTGGCTAAACCATTCTGCACACTCCTATGTCAGCGCTAGACAATGGTCTGGGACTAATTTTGAATTCTCCCATATATTTTTATTCAGAATTCAACAAGTGACGAGTCTGTTCCTCATAATGTCCCAGAAATTTTGAAGAGACAATGACATGCCTTAGAGAATGACTTTTAATGAATGAATGCTATAGATAAAAATATGACCATGCTACAAAGCTGGAGTCTTGAACAGAGTAAACATGATACCTGTTTAACAAGATCAAACTGAATAGCTTCATTGTAATTGCACACACTCATACATTTGCTGTACAATGCTTATGCTCATACTGTCCCACAAGTTATTCCACATTGTGAGATGTTTGCACGTAAGGTGGTTGCGTCAGTGTTTTATAAAGTAATAAATTACATGCTTGACTTGTCACAGAGCATTTTTTGTGTGTGTATGTTTTCATTTATACAGCCAAGCCTATCTGGATTGTCTGACTGCACCCCATTATCGTTCTGCTATAAGGGAGATCAAATGTTCTATCTTGCCTGTATGTCTAAGCCCAGGATGCAGCAACAGTGTCCATGTAAAACAGTAATTGCTTTGGTGAAACACTTGCATACCAGGCGAGGTGTATGTAAATGGCTATTTCACCCAAAGAAACAAGCAGCACGGCCTGACTGGACGACCCAAATCTTCAGCAAAAAGCTGACATTTTCAGCGTGTAGGTTGCTGCTCGGAGGTTGTTGTTGTTGTCGTTTTCTGAAGTAAAGGGCATTTTGAAAACTGTAACACACAGATAGCTGGAGAGGAGGTGAAGGCAGCGTGAAATGTCAGACCCGAAGTCCATGTCCTGTGAGTCAGACTAGTGTTCATTAGTCAGCTGTAAAAGTACCGCATCGTCACCTTAGGAAGAAAAACATTAATATTGCTGTTCCTCTGGTGTCAAGCAGGTTCCTCTCACCTTGCCTTTTTTGTGTCTGCTCTTATGTAAACATGTATCTGTCACTGGGTTTGTTTTTACGAGCGTGCACATGCTTCTCTTGCCACAGCGCCAAGTTCAGCAGCAAGATAAAGTACGTGCACAATTTGGACGAGCTGCAGGAGCTCATCCCGATGGACTCCATCCAGATCCCAGAGTGCATCATTAGGTGAGTCCCTCTAAACGCAGCAGCACCTCCACCTCGTCCAAACCCGAGCTGCCTTTTAAATGACTTTGTATTCATCTTGTCATTTGAACTCTCACCTCCAGACTTGACAAGGAACTGAAGGAAGCAGCAGAGAACTCAAAGTAAGCATCGCCTCTCATTACTTCCTCTGTGGAGGCAGTGGCCTCTGCCTCACTTTTATCCTTGGCTGGAGCACTCATTTATCAGATGGCTCACTTTTAGATCACAGGGACTCTTCTGCTGGATGGCGACCAATTGGATTTGGCTACGGTTGCAATTACAGAGGAGAGACAGGGAAAAAAAAGTTGCTAAAGATGCTAAATGCTTTGCTTTCATCTCATTTATCATTAGAGTAAAATAAATGAGCCAGACCTTATTGCATGGTGATCTATTACCCTGATAATAAATGGAGAAACAAAGCTGCAGAATTCACACACTAATCGCTGGCAGACTAATTGTGCTCTGAATCATAAGTTGTATGTGCCTACAAATTCACCGCATACCAGTGTATTACACCAGTAAATTCTGCTTCAACAACCTCTTTGTTTTTTTGTTTTTTTTTCTTCGTTCTTTCCAGAGTGAATAGTTTTCTGCAGGGATCTGATCCAACAGCAGCAAGCAGAACAGAGTAAGTCCTCTAAGACGTTTAAGTTCACACATGGAAGACAAATGGCCTTGTGTCAGCAGGCTGTCACCGATACATAAACACACCCATCTTTAATGTCTCTGCTTTGTACTTTCGTCTCTCCAGCAGAGCAGACCAAGCCGGTGCCAGCGGCTCTTAAACCCAAACATCCTAAATGGATGGGTCACCTCAATGTTCAGAAGTCACTGTTGTAAAAGAACGAGTGAAGCTGGAAAGTAGCAGCTTGTGGAGCTTGTGCGTGTGTGTGCGTGTGTGTGTGTGTCAGTGTTTGTCAGTTAGACACTGGAGTTTAATATGAAAACACAACTTACAATAATACCTGTTAACACTCAGATCTTATTCTTTATAGCTGCTGTAGCATCTGCTGTACTTTACACCTGCAATCCAGAGAACTATATAGTCAAGTGTGATGCTTGGCAGCATCAACAGAGTAGCCTCATCGTTCACTTTAGGGTAGAAAATGCAATTACACACCAGACAGTGCACTGCGCAAACCCATTTGTAGTCTATAGTGTTGTAGTTGTGCATGAGATGCAGTGAAGCAATAATATCACCCTTTAGTGGTTACACAGTCTCAGTGTTTCTGATAAGGAGGCGACTCTTGTGTCAGCAATCTACAATAAAAGCACAAGGTGTGGCCAAACAAAACAAATCCTTGTGCCATAGATGACCAACTTGCATCTGAGCGACCCAATCCTCTGCCTTGTCCTCAAACTGGAAAACAAACCTACAGATAGATATTTTAACTTTGTAGAGTCAACCTAAAGTCAAGCAGGAGCGAGTTAAATATGAAATCAAGCTGTCAGTGCAGCGTGACGGCACATCTTTTTAGCCATGTTTTGCAATTGTGTGTGTGTGTGCATGTGTCTTTCTGTCGATGCAAACTGGGAATCATCTATTCACTTTCTGCTGGATCATCAGGAAGAAATGTCAGATGAAAAATAATGATGGGATCTCTGTAAAGCACAACATCTTATCTGTGTGTGTGTCCACACGCATGTGTGTGTGTGTACTTGTGCATCAGTGCATGTCCCCTCATTAGATAACTGACGGTCCTCTTACCCATGAGTCGTCTACGGTGTACTGAGGATGTGCAAAGACGTTATGGATCACTGTCTAGTAATTCAATAAAAATGGACTCAAGTCTGATCGTTGTTTTCAATCATGTCTGATTTGTTAGTTGCAATTTAACGAGCAATCGTTCCGTTTTCTGCCTCGCGAAGTCATGACTTACTCTTTTCTAATGCATTTCTTTCAAGACTTTATTTAAACTGAATAACACATTTTCAAATTAAAATTCAAAGACAGCAAACACTTGTGAATATAGAAAAGCCAAATAAACGCAACGATTAATCACATTTAAACCGCTAATCCAACACTACAACAATTAAAGACATAATGTGATTAATGAAACTGTCAAATCTAGTAAATGCCCATGATGAATTATGTTATATATGTGGGGGAATCATCATACTCCAAACAAAGTCAAGAAAATCAAGCTAAGTTATGTAAAAAGTCTATGAGAATGCAAACAGCAGGGATTTTGTCATTTTGTGAATGGATAGCAGTTGTAAAATGCTGCTCATTATAAATAGCTTCTCATGTCTCATTTGGTGGAGCTCATTCAGTGAAGGATAAATGGGTCTGTCCCTCAGGGCACCAACAGATAAACACAGAGGGAGAAGAATCCAGAAGAAAATAGAGAAATGTTTTTCACGCTTCACCGGAACGCGTAGCTCTCATCATCGTACTCCAGCTCGTCCTCGTTGTCGTCTCCCAGCTGTCCGTACCGGAACTTCCTGTACACGGTGCCGTCCTGGCCCATGTAAACAATGTCCTCATCGTCTTCATCGTCGTCGTCGTCGTCCTTACTCCCTGAGCGACGCTCGCCGATGTCAACCAGCTGAGACTCCTGGAAGCGGCCGCCAGAGGAGCCGGCTCGGCCTCCGTAGGACGCCGAAGAAGCGGAGCTGTAGCCACCGTGTCTGCTGCCGCCGCCTCCGAACCCGCCGCCGGAGCCCAGCTTCTCGTAGCCGCGGGGAGGAAGGTCCGACTGGGTGTGCTTCGACCGGGAGTGTCTGATGAGGAAGACGACGGCCACGAGGGCCACCACCAGAAGGATGCAAGCGATGATGAAGACTGTCAGGTTGCCCGAGGCCTCCTCTTCCTCCTCATTCCTGAAGGCCAAGTTGGTGCTGAGGATGCACTCTCCTGGACAGAAGACACAAGAAGAAGTGAAAAACAGAAACAATCGAAAAACTGAAGAAGCAAAAACAGAAAACACAAAACTCCAAGATTGTAAAAAAACAGAAAACTTAGTTGTTTGCTGGAGACAAGAAAAAACAAAAGCAAAGTGAATGGAACTCACTAAAAAGAAAAAAAAAAAAGAGAAATAAAGTCAGATTGATAGAGACTCACGCAGACAAAGGAAAAAAAAGTGGGCTGAAGGAAGGTGAAGAAAGAGGGATCTGGTTTTGCAATGGTAAAAAGGTAATTCTGACTTTACTCTCAGAACTTCAAACAGCCACAGTTCTCCCTGTAAACTAAAAATAAAGCCGTGGTCAGATTGTCCACTCACCCACTATGTAATGTTTCCTACACAGCAGCCTCAGTAGAGACGAGGGCAGACGGCTGATGATACATCTCATTTGCTACTTGGATAAAGCTCTGCCACATAATTACAAGCCTGATACTCTTAATTATTTCTGTCCATAAACAAATGCCTGAACATCTGCACCACATTTGAAGCCATGGGCACCACAAGGCTCCTATTTTTGGATGAATACTCTTTGTAAGTGACACGTCTCTCCACAACATTTAAATAGAACAAGTCTGTCTTTCTCTACAACACACTTTGGCTGTTTGTGTCCACCTACACGAGAGTGACGGGGAGTGCAGCTTCAACTCATTGACTAATCTTCAATACATTAATTGTGAAATAATATTACCCACGAACGCAGTCAAATATATTAAAATAACCGTGAGCTGCTTAACGCGTCGCCGACATATTTACAATTTAGCCTGAGTCAAGTCTCTAATAGGGTTCAGTAGGCGTTTCAATAATAATAATTGCTGCCGCTCAAGCAAAGAGGAAGATGAATGAGACATCGGAGGAGTTTTATGCTCACGAGGCGAAATCAACAGGTGAGAAAATGACTTTAGATAGCAGATAACATTTCTTCTTCTCGGTACAGCAGAGAAAAAAGCTCCAACACATGATGGTTTAAGTCGATTGAATATAGTGGATGAAGTTTACAGCCGAGAATTCAAACATCACGACAGAACGGCTGGTTCATTACATAGTGGACAATCTGAACACAGCTTCAGCAGAAATGTAAGAAAACAATTAAAATTATGCAAAAAAACAAAAAAAAAAGAAGAAGAAAGGTCAGAATTTAAATGCTTTATTTACAGTGGCCCAAATCCTCTTTGGTAGATATCGAAGGGGCTTACATGATTGCCAAAATTGAAAGGGCACTCTGCCAATTTTGCACATGAAGTTCTGTTTTCTTGGAATGAAAAGCTCAGCCTGTCAAAACAATTGAATAACGTCTTCTGCGGCTCTATTCAAAGACCGAAAAATGAAATTGGGAGGCAGGAGAGCTGGTGCTGATGCTCCCGGTTCGGGACGTTAAAAGTCCCATTCACGTCAAGTTCTTCTGTGGCTCAGATCAATATGAAACTCTCCCGGCTGAAGCATCAGTCCCAAAGACGAACAAATGCGATTCTGTAATAAAAAGTTGATGGTAAAAGCTTGTGTGTGTTAAAACCTTACGACTCCAAAGGGTTTTTTTCAGGAAGAAATTTTCAATCAGAGCTTAAAACTGACGGTTGAGAGTCAGAAACTACTCAGGCGAGAAAACAAATTTCATCAGTGAACTTCTGGCTTTATGGCAAATTTTAGGGGAATTCAGTGACTGTGGGGCCGCGGTGGTTTTTAGTACCGTCTATGTTTCCCATCGCTTTGATTCAGGCCTCCTACAGACCTCTGCTCTGTGGCCGACGCTGTTCGCATTAAGCAGTAGTAACAGGAGCCGCCTGCGATGCCAAAATTACAAACAAAACATGATTTCTCTCAAATGTGGGAGCTTGACCTACGCCAAGACAACTAATCCAACAACTTTTCTTTAAATTACTCATACGTCCTGCGAGCTTATGTAAATGCAGGACGAACACCCCCGTCGTTCACTTATTTAGAAAACTTTCAAAACTAATGCAACACAGCATAACTTCATGTGGAACGCTAATGTTGCACATCACAAGACTAATACAGAGATGTAAAGAGATTTTTTTTTACACTGAGCAGAGCTTTTCTTGTTTTCAAATAAAGAGCTCAAAAGCCTCAGTCTGTATCTTCAGTCAGCATGGGAGCACACACTGGCCTCGGTTACTTTACCTCCATGTCTTTTGCCTCTTTTGCTTCTCCCTGGTATCAGAGGTTATCCATCGCGTTTTTTTTTTAACACACATAATGTCGTGTTGAAGCCCCTGAACGCATCATCTGTGATGTTCCCTGAGATTATCGGGTCCTTCAGCATCACACGCCGTCACCCAGGCGACCCGGCCGTGGTCGATCAAGCCCCGGCTTGTGTCCAGACAACGCAACACCCCTCACCGAACATACTGACATGTCTGTAGGTCTCAGGTAGATCTGAAAGCTGTTGGATTATCGTCTGAATGTGTCAAGTGTTTCTGAATGTAACTCAGGATTCAGCAGAGATGTGAACACGCCTACTGATGTCCTGTCTGCTGCCCTCAGCTGCTGAGTCACATTCTTCCCTTTGACCTCTATAAACACCTGCAGCATCGCAAAGCAGCAGATACGATAAAACAGTGAGAGAGAGAAGTCTGTATTTATATATGTGGCAAAGCAGCAAGTTCACCCCAAACACCCCCCATGTCTGACCGATGATGACGCTCTTGGATCTTGGAAATTATGAGAGTATCTTTCTTTCTGTTTCCGACATTTTATAGACCAAGCGATCGATCAGCTGCTGTCCCTCTGAAAAACAACTAATCAACGACGACAACTCTAATCAGTTCCAGCCCCAGTATTGTTTCTTCACAAGAGGTATGATCAACAAAGACAATCTATCCATCCTTCAGTGACAAACTGAGTCACTCACCGCCCAGGAATGACCTTCATCACTCTCCTCCACTTTGTTTCAACACAGAACAGAAGCCTACCTCGAGTCTCAGTGCAGTTACAACAGTCCTGCTGCTGTGCGGTGACCTCCTCCTCCTCCTCTTCCGTCCCGTGGTGGCAACAAAGCAGACAGCGCCCTCCAGCTTCTAAGATGGCCTGAGGAGGACACATGGAGCAGTTGGACGGGCCGGGCCCCCGACACTCCAGACAGGAGCTGTCGCAGTCTTCGCAGGAGTGGTCCGACCCCTGGAGAGGGACAGCAGCGTTTTTTACATCACAGCTGCTGATTCTTTGTCTCGGAAACTTTTCAAAAGACTGAATAAAGCCTCTCAGCGCTGTCAGTTAACACGCATCTACCTGTCCAGCAGGTTCAATCAGCTGTCTGGCAGCAAGATTTATTTAGAAAATGTGACACAGTAATCATTTTCACTCTGCTGTCTGGGATTTCTCCTGGTGCAGTAATAAGTCAGTCTGAATTACATTTTCTGATACCCGGGGCCAAAACATTAGCAGTAATTATTTTGGTGAAGGACAGGATGAGGATATTTTTTTTATGAAAGTGAACATCTGCGTAGTTAAAACCCAGAGAAGTGTTTGTTACCTTTATTACGGGATGCTGGCCGACGTCGCATATGGACTCACACTTGCCATCGGACAGCAGGTATCCGGGGAAGCACGAGTCGCAGGATTGGGAAGATTTTCCTGCAGGCAAATGACAAATGAAGGAGTTTGTTGACAGGTAGTGTTTTAATATATTCAAGAAATCCCTTAAAAATATGAATTCATCAGCAGTGAACAGATGCTCCTGACAAGTACTGGCAGTGCAGCTGAAACATGATATCTATTCATCTCTTCCGCACACAGAAGCCTCTTTGTTGTCCAAATGCTACAGAGCCCATATTGTGCTTGTTGGGTTTCCCCCTTTTTCCTTCTGTGTCTTCAGCAGCTGCTTTTTCTTTTACACCCATAAAGCGTCTGCAAACATTCATGTCAAAGTGAGTCA